GATAAACTATATAAGGAAGTTCCTGAATTTCATTCAATGTTCAGGCCATTTATTCTTTGCTATGAACCTGCGTAAATAAACTATTCCTTCTCTGAAGAGCTGGCTTGCGTGTCCTGTCTTTTCTACAACCAAAGGATGCAAATGACTAACTGTCTGCAAGGAGTATAAATCCTTTCCTTCCCCATCTTCCAGCCAGAGCTGAAGAAGCTTCTGGGACGAGAAGCGAAAAAGTCCAGTTGCCTCTTGAAAAAAACACACCTTTGGGATAACCGTGACCTGGATGACGGAGAATCTCCACAGGCGTTGCAACGGTGGCTTACTCAGCAAGCCATAATGACATGTTTAAAGAAACTCTTGTGGGACACAGTCTTTGGAAGAGGCCATTGTTTTGCTCCTTTTCCAAAATAGACAGAGCAGATGTAGGAGAAGGCCTAGTAGCTTTCCCCAAAAGGTGACTTACCTCAGTGATGGATGTGATTCCATGTTGGTCCAGCCGCTTCCTGTACAAGTTCTCAGTTTGTTCCGCTGTTAAGCCAGGCTCATCTTTGGTGAAGAGGCAAACCTCAGAGGTATCCGGCAGAATGCTATGCGGCAGGTTTCTAGAACACCAAACAGACCAAACAGGCTTCAGCAGAGCAACAGCTGTGGGGTCGCTAAGAAGATGCAATTACAGGCAGTCCTCCACTTACAGCCGTTAGTTTAGTGACCATTTGAAATAACGAAGGCATTGAAAAAAAGCGACTCATGAACGTTTCGCACACTTACGACTGTTGCAACCATGGTAAGGTAAAGGTTTCCCCTCACACATATGTGCTAGTCGTTCCTGATTCTAGGGGACAGCGCTCATCTCTGTTCTAATGCCGAAGAGCTAGCGCTGTCCGAAGACGTCTCTGTGGTGGCCGGCATGACTAAATGCCGAAGGCGCACGGAATGCTGTTCCCTTCCCACTAAAGGTGGCTCCTATTTTTCTACTTGCATTTTTTAAAATGTGCTTTCGAACTGCTAGGTTGGCAGAAGCTGGGACAAGTCACGGGAGCTCACTCCTTTATGCGGGTGCTAGGGATTCGAACCGCTGAACTGCCGACCTTTCTGATCGACAAGCTCAGCGTCTTAGCCACTGAGCCACCGCATCCCTGTTTCTCCATGGTCACGGGATTCAAATTCAAACGCTTGGCAATTGACTCATTTATGATAGTTGCAAAGTCATACAATCAACGTTTTGCGACCTTTTGACAAGCAAAGTCGACCAGGAATCCAGATTCACTTAACAACTGCAAGTGATTTAATTAGCTACGAGGGCAAGAAAGGTTGTAAAATCGGGCAAAACTCACTTAACTGTCTCACTTAGCAATATGAATGTTGGGCCCAATTGTGGTCATAAGATGATGGCTACCTATATTGTCGATCTTTATTCAACAACATGGCTGTCCAATCTTGGCAACTTTTAAGAGCTGTGGACTTCAACTCCCAGAATTCTTCAGCCGGTTATGATGAATTCTGGGAGATGAAGTTCACAGGTCTTAAAAGTTGTCAAAGCTGGGACACTCCTGCTCTACATATAAGAACTCTGTTTTTGAACCAGACTTATTTCTTGCTGCATCTTTGTTTCTAATCTTCCTAGTGTAGGAAGTTATCACCCAGCCCTCTCCCAGAAAAAAATGAAATATCCTAGGAAATATTGAAAAGGCAGAATATTTCTCTGGATGTGAAAAGGAAGAAACACGTTTTAAAAGACAGAATAGCTTCCTGCCCATCCCCACTTTTGTCAATGGGCCATTAAGAAGGCCAAGGTAGTCCACTTTACATAATAAAGAGTTCTACCCT